CTGAGGCATGAGAATTGGGCAGCAGACAAATTTAGATGATGATGATGATGATGATGATGATGATGATCTAAACAGATCCTTAGAGAGAATGTCAGGTTCCTAATGATGAATGAAGAAGCAGACACCTGCACTGAATCTTGATTCCTTTGTTAGTCTTGCCACATGTGATAATTTGCCTCCTTATTCTCAGCAAGAAGTTAGATTTGATTTTTGTATTTGTTCTTAGCTTTACACCTCCCTGTTATGACTGGTGAATATTTTCATTTTTCTAGTTCAGCTGGTCACTTCCATTTCAACTATGAGTGACATCTTTTCAGCTGTAGCATACATGACACAGTCAAAGCAAAGCTTTCCATGGCACCAACTTTTCATAATAATTTTTCATAATTTGCTTTCTATTGGAAAGTAATGCCAAATGGCTGCCTGTTAGTGGAGAGAAGAAAAGATTTCAGTATGCCATCAGGATGGCACTGTGAATTGCAAGAACTGAAGGAAAAACTGCAAAACAGTCTTTGAAATGACTGAACAATCCCAGAGTACGCTGTGGATGTGCTACCTGCAATAATTCTTTTCAGGCATCACCTAGGTAAAAAATTGCCACAATTGTCAAAGCTCAAAGTATTTTATTTTGATCACTTACCAGCCTTACTTAATAAAAAACATAACATAAAATAAAATAAGATAAATAAAACAAAATGCAATAAAAATAAGTTGAACACAGTCAGCACAAGTGAAACTTTCGTAGTTCAGGTAAATCACTTTGAACACTGAGACGATTAACGCTAAGCTTCATTGAAAAGACCTTCATAAATAAAGCTAGGAACAGATAAGCAGGAGGGTTAACAGTTATTGTTATTATTAAACTTGGAAGAAGTTTAATTAAGTCAAATTGTTTCTAATGAAGTCCTGTCGAACCTTGCTGGCTATTAAACAAAACCTGGTGACATTGTAGGGGTGTGGATCACTCTGGTCAGCTAAAAGATTATTGAGATAAAAAAAGAGGAAGCATCGCCTGGATATTCAACGAATATAACGAAACTGTAATAAATTTGTCTCACGGATCTTGGTAAGATTAACAGTAGAGAAGCACATGGGCTGTTGCTTTGATGGCTTCTGACTTATGCAGTGACAAAATATTCATTATACAGTATGGGATTTTTTTGAATCTCCCTTCCAGAACTGCAGTTTGCAGGTTTATTGTAAGAGAAGGCTAATCTGTGGAAAATTTACAATTGTGGAACTAGTCATCTTCATTCTCTGTGCTATTACTTTATTATGTTTCCCCTATAAAACACTGACTGATTAACTGGCATCAAGTTGATGTCAATTCTTAGTGACCGCATAGATAGATTTTCCCCATAATGAACTGTCCCCAACCTGGTCCTTCAGGCTTTTCAACAGTGTATCCATCACCACTGTAATTGAGTCCAGACACCTTGCTGCTCGTTACCCTCTTCTCTTTCCTTCCATCTTTCCCAGCATTATAAACCTCTCCAGAGAGCTAGGTCTTCACATAATGTGTCCAAAGTATGATCATTTGAGTATAATAATTTGTGCCTCAAGTGAGAAATCTTGGTTGATTTGTTAGATGATCCTTTTTTTTTTCTTGGCTGTCCATGGTATTCCTAGGATTCTTCTCCCATAGTTCTCCCCATAGTTGAAAACTTGCACGATTTTGATCTTTGTAGATATAGAAACATCATGGGATCTGGCTATCTTTTCCAGGGCCTTCACTGCTAATGCTGTATAAAGCATACTACATTTTTCATCAGTTGAAATCATTTAATGGCCCTTTTCCAGATGCAAGGGGAAGACTGACACCAGACAGAATCAGCATCAGTCATCTTCCAAAACATGCTATGGATCTTGAAACAGGTAGGTCAGAGGTGATAAGTAATCCGAACATTTTAAAGCCTATGTTTCTAATGTGACACTTCATTGGCTACCTGTGCAAATTTTGTATCTCCTGACATGCTATTGCTTAACAGGGTGAACAAACAGCAGTCCAGTCCAGCTTAGAATCAGAACACTAAGAAAAACATTTTCTTTCTTTAGGGAAAAAGGGATAGCTGTAAAGTTTAAAAGCGCTGTTCATGTTTTATATTGTTTATAACTGGATAAGATTTGGAAATAATTCAATCCAAGTTTTGTAGTACAATATAGATGAAGAGCAGAAGAGCAGTCTAGTCTGAATCTTTTACAGTCAATTGAATAATAAATCACAGACTTTTATTTGGACTTGAATCACCAAGGTGTGACCTTAGCATGCCCTTCTCCCTGCTGAACCACCCTACCATATCAATCTGCTATAGAAAACTATAGCTCCTTTCTCATCCCCACATTCACATGGTAAATAAGTGGATGGGTGGCTTCTTCATTTATATAGATGGCAAGGAACAGAGGAACGCCAGCATCAGCATTAGAAGCACAAAGAGAAGCAGCACCTTGACTAAGGAGAAAAAGAGGGTAAAGATAAGAAGGCTAGCATACTACTCCCCAAATTACCCAGTTATGCCACCTTGCAGTGCCAGGCTGCTGTAGAGAGTAAGGAAGCGGACCTTGATGGAATCATGTAGGAACTGCTACAATGCACTTATGGATGATCTCTGGCGGGAGCGGGATGGTGGAAGTGCGACCATCCTTGCTCTC